GAGGTGTTTTTGATAAAAAACCCCCAAAGCTACACCTTCTCCTTTTCCTCATTTAGCAGAGACTTTATGAGGACAGCTTTTAACACCAGCTTTTAAACAGAATTCCCCATTGCTCTCCACAGAATCCCAGTTCTGAAAAGTGTTGTGGTACTACCATATGTCAGCTTCTCAAAAATGTTGTATTTAACCAAGCAATGAGAAGTCAATTTTGTGATACAGAACAAATGTAGAGACATATGGTGAGTAGACCTGCTGGGGGAACACCAAACTTTCTGGTTTACTGAACAAAAATGTCTTGGTATTTTTACTGTCTGTTGCCTAGTCTGCTTGCAAGAGAGCCTGTAAAATCAAGACATATGGGGCAGAAAACATCTCACTTAACTTGAGTTCAAACATCTGCATCAGAACTAGGCACCCTTAGGCTATCTTTACTGTCATCAGATAGACAGGTACTTTAAAAAGTGCTTGATGTATCTCTATTTTAGATGTCTGGTTTGGGATAAAATTAACCATTTTATTTTTAGAAGGGTTTTTCCCTCCAACTGGGATTGACTATGCAAAAAGCTTAGGCCACTAATCCAGATGAAAACATCCCCAATGTCAAGATGAATGTTCAGAAGAATCCCACCTATAGGTGAGATTTTTGACCTAGAGGATGCTGAAAATGTCCAAAAGTGCCCATGAATGGTATGATTTCCACAGAAGTTGGAAGGTTTATTCTTGGTGGGAAAAAAATGCCCAGATCATCCAAAATATTTTCTGAAAAACTAATTTTGATTGAAATATTGTATTGAATTTTTGTTTTAATCACACTTTTCTTTCTCTCTAAAAAAAAAAATCCAACAACCAACAACCAAGAAATAGGTGAAGTTGATGCAGCTTTGCAGTGTTTGGTTGAATTTGGTCCTCTGATGGAATATAGACCCCTTCATCTTTCTCTAACACTCTGTACTTGCAATGTGAGGCCTCACTTTTTCAGAGACATTCATATTATTTCTTGAACTTTGCAAGATATCCTAAGGACAGTATGAAATATGTGTAGCACAGGCTGTCTTCGGGAAAGCTTGGAAAATGTGTTTGCAAAGTATGTCTTTGCCAGTATAAGATTTTATGACATAAACTCAGTTGCTACATTAGAAACCCTCTTTATTCTGTTAAAATGTCATAACAATTTCTATCCTTGAGCTTCATTCTTTGGAGCACACCCAGACATGCACATTGTTTTGCTGCTGTTGTTCTTCTTATGATTGTGACGGAAGTCTAGCATTCTTGGTAAAGAGGAATGAAGGACTTGTCTGGAGCCAAAAAGAACTAATGAGGAAGCAAGGGGGAGATTGATAATACCTTTCCCCTGTGGGGAACCAGTACAGGCAGTACAGTGGCTTAAGCTGATGTCTTTTGCTTTATAAAACTGCTTAGCTCTACCAGCTCCCCTTGGCCTCTCTTCTTTAGGTCCACCAACTTAGATTTTAGTTTTTTCAGACAGTGAGGGAACATGAGGTACTCTGTGCCTCCCTCCCTGTGAGTGGCCATGTGCTCTGCATTTCTGAAATTGTATTTCAGCAGATCAGGGAGGAAGAGGCCACAATATTGATTTGGAAAACTGCATTACATTAATGGCAGCTCCTCTCTTTTCGGTTTAATTATAAAAGGCAGCCATGAATACAGATCTGTTCCTGTGTCTGTGGAAAGCTGAAATGTCATTGAAAGCAAAATTAAAGCCCTGATTGCTTAGGTGGTCAATGAAATATCCATTTACAACTACATTTCTTGTAGCAAGAGCAAGGAATTCTATAAAATAAAATGCAAATACAAACTATTAGACTTTCAAATAGGGTACGTATCAACAAATATTAATAGTTCAATGCAAAAGTTTCAAGGAAGGCAAAAGCGTCTTCAGCTGGGAAAACAGAGCTGATGTGCTGAAGGCACAAAGATAAGGCCAACACCTGATAGACTTCTTTGCACGGGAGTTTCCTGATGTCTCAGTGGGGTTTCAGCATCATCAGAGATGGCTAGATTGTGTGTGTTCCCTGGACTGCACCTTTTTGTAGGTAACTATTTAAATGGATTATGCAGTTTAGTTTTCTGCTTTCATGGGATCCCTGTGAGCATTGAGAAACCCACAACATCAAGAGGGTGTTGTATAATCATCTTACTTGGAGTCAGAAGTGTGGAAGTCACTGTAGTGTTCAATATCAGTAGAGTAGCCTATTTACAGTAACTTTAATATTCCCTTTTAAATTCTAGGTAAAACTTCAGAGTTTTGAAGTCAGGAAAAGAAACCACAAGCTATCTACACATTGCACAGACTACCATATAAACTAAACAAACATAAGGAAATGACAAAGGAGCAGCTCTTCAACATATGGGCAGAATGATTAGTGAAGAGGTTATTTTTAAGTATAAAACCCCTTTATCTGTCCTTAAAGCTCCCACTTGTTTAGAGGAACATTTTCTGATGCTGCTGACTTCCTTCTAAAGCTGTCTGTGCATTCTTCTGGATGATCCATGTAACATTCAGAAATGTATACTCATGACTAATTAAGTTGCCTGCTAACTACTTTGGACACACACAATTGTTCAACATAATGAATTCAGCAATAAAAATATAGCAAAGCAAGTAAAAATCACACAATGAACTCTTTAGCCCCAAATATGCATCTTTCAGATTTAGTTGGGAAAAGAGCATATTTAATTGTTTCCCATAGGACCAACCACAAATAAAGCTCAAATGTAAATATTTGTCTGATAAATGGTACCTCTGCTAGCAGCTAAGTCAAGGCACTGCCAAATGCAGGACAAATTTTGATCTCAATTTGCAACGAGATTATTGCTGAAGTCAGAAGGAATACTGCAGGGGGGAAAAAGGGCCTTTCACACTATTAAACAAATATTGTGTGTAAGGCTGCATCCCACTGAAGCTGGAGGGTACAAAAGAGAACTTCAAAAAGAGGAGCTTAGGCAAATTAAAAAAAAAAATGTGAGGAGATCATCACCTACAAGAGAGGCCCAGAAAAAGTCAGTGAGAGTCTATGGGATAACACTTTTGGAAGTGAAATATATTTTGCAGATGGAAGTAATGATAACCCTCTCCAGACTGCCAACAGAGGGAGACGAGAAAACAACTGAAAGGACAATACTTGAACAAGCCCTGAGAAGAGCCTTGCACAAAGAGCGGTTCTTTGACCCACAGGCAGTAGAATGGTGGCTTGTTTGGTAAATGCCGAGGTATAATAATCTGTCTTTTTAAGGTGTTTGGAATTAAAGAGAGATTTAGCCTTTCCAAGGTTTCTTGTCAAATCAGCAAAGAAGACATCTAGCTCCAGGTAATGGCTCAGTTCAAGAAGTCATAAGAAAAATCAATCAGATGATTGCTTAATATTTCAGTGAAGATCGCCTCAGACCACATGGGCCAGCAATAATCCAATGCATGATCAGAACTCCTGTCATCCAGGTATCTAAATGACTTTCTCAGAAATGACATAAGCTTCTCAGCAGATGAGCACTATAATTTAAAAGACAGACATGGCTGTGCACATGTATATTAAGAGAATTATACAATTAAACAGCCAGTTAAAGACAGAACCAGGTGATTAAGAGAAGACTGGATGTGGCACTCAGTGCCATGGACTGATTGACAAGGTGGTGTTAGGTTATAGGTTGAACTCGGTGATCTCAGAGGTCTTTCCCAACCTACCTAATCCTGTGATTCTGTGACATAACCCACCCTTGCTGACTCGCAATCCCCTGTTGATACTAGCTGGATCATTTTTTTCCTTATCCTTCTAGAACAAATAATTGAGCTGTATTTCAAAATTGTATAGCAGTGTTTTCCAAAACTTGCAGGTAAAATTCTGTGCTGAATCCCCAGGAGGTGTGATACATATATCATAGGACTGGGGGTACTCATCTTTTTGAACACCTGCAGTGGTATGTACTGGACTTTTCAAAGGTACTGCAACTTAAACACAACTGAAAGCCACCCTTGTTTTTCCATCTCCTCTTCACTCCTCTTCTAGCATTCCTCTAGGGCAGTATTGGCACAAGTGTCCAGGTTAAACTACTGTCTTCAGTTGTTTAACCAAAGGAGTATTTGCTGCTGCCATTTTTGTGGATTTCTTTTGTTGTGCTGTCAGTACTGCACAAAGGGACTGAAACATGGTGAAGGATCTTGCTGTCGCCTACTTTTGACTCATGAATTTTCTCCTTTCACATATTTGTAGATTATACATAAAATATAGTTAAGAGGTCAAAAAACCTTGAGGTGACCAAGCTATTTTTAAATACTACCCTTTAAAATGTTCTGTCTCCTGTAGTTAAAGCAATGTTAGCTAAATATAAGTGCCTAGACATAGAATGATGAGAGTGGGCTTCTTTTTTAGCATTTTTATGTACACTTCCCAGAGAGTTCATCCAACCCACTAATGGTGAACTAATGGGATAGAGCTTGTAGCTTGTAGCTTGTAGCTTGTAGCAAGCCAACCTCTTGACCTGCCACACTGCCCCTGCCTTCCAATGGCCACGTCACCACAATTATAAAACAGGAAATTTTTTTAAAAAAGGAACTGTGGTACTTTAATCTGCATAATACAGTTTTTAGGAGAGAACAAACACACTGTTGATGTAGGTGACTTATTACAAATACTCACATTGCATGTGGCTGACCGAAATGGCTCAAATTCAGATTCCGACTGAAATGTATTAAGCTGCATATTTCTGGCCCATCACTATAGTTTACAATTGCTAAAAATATCCATGCACTGCACAGATGATAGAGATCATTTAGTCCAAAAGAGTCACAAAGAAACAAGTTTTAATGATAATTTGGGATTTTTTTGCTTGCATAGTCTTTAAGGTGACTATAACAAAGAGAAGAATTAAGAGAAAAAAGGGCTGGCACTCTTTGTGTGGAAGGTAATGCTGTAGTCAGGGCAGTTGTCAATTTTTTTTAGATCCACATGTGCCTGAACTTCAAGAGAACTTTCTTTTTGACAACATCGTGATTGAATCACAGCCCTAACAGCACTTCATCAGAGTGAACACAGACTTTGGCAGTGTCATATAGAAGATTGCTTCTGTTTCTGAGAGAGAGGTGAAAATACATATTGAATGTGGTGTCCCTAGTATGACAAGGTAAGTTTGTCTCTTCCTTGCAACTCTAGTTCCCTCCTACTTGCACTTTCAGTGATCTGGGCTATGCCTTAACCTGGACATCTGGCGAAAACATGGATAACCAGGCCAGCAGGGTCAAATCCAGGCATCCATCTGGCCTGACTTTAGGCTTGTTTCTGGAGCTGGAAGAATTAGGAACGGTGATGACTCTGGCAAAAGTTTTCCCTTATAAAGGACAATAGAGATAATAATCAGAACAATTATGCAAAACTCACCAAAACTTTCAGGAATTTACAAGTAGATACTGATAAATATTCAAGTAGCAATTGGTGGGATTTCAAGTCCTTCTTTTCTAATCCAAACAAAGCAGAGAACAAACACCAAGAGACCATGAGAAAAGTGGTTACAATGATATTAAAAAGCACAACTGAAATAAGAAGTGGTTGCTAAATGTTAGCAAATACAGTGTGGTAAGGAAAATCTATAAAAATAAGTACAAACAAACCAAAAGACATGGGGGAACAAAATTCTCAAATTGTAGATAACTCTACAAACATCAGAAGGTATCTCCAGTATCGTCTTACTGAATTGTAAGCACAGAAAAAGCTGTTTGAAAAACATTGAAAGACACTGTGTTTATACTGCTTCTATGAAATCCTTTTCCTCAGCACTTATCTGCCCATATGTTTCCATTTCAGCTTTGTAGTTATTTTTGACTCACAGCAGGTAAAAAAGAAGGGGGGCTTTTTGGTTGTTGACACAGCGTTTATAATGCTTTAAGGGAGTGTCTCTGTGGGTACCTTCCCTCTGTGCCTAACTGGGGGTGGAGGGAGAAGCATGGCTTATTCTCCTCCTACCTACCACCTCCTTCAGGGCTGAGAAGCCAATTTCTGTCTTTAACCAGCCCACTGTATCAATGCCCATGGCCTGTTGCTAGCTTTTCAAACACGTGCCTTCATGCTCTCATGCCGCCCCAAACACTCAAGAGAATCTCTCCCAGAAACATCTGCATAGCTGCCTTGTTATTCCTCTCCAGTTCTCCTTTAAAACTCTGCTTTTGCCATATTGTCTCTGTGAGTTTGCATGAGACCTATTAGATACATGGATATACGGATATTTGTTTCACCACTTCCCTTGTCTGCTTTTCTGCCTATCTGCTGTAACTTTTCCTAGCTTTAAACTGTAGGGTTTTGGAGGCCAGAACTGTCTTCTCATGTGCTACTTAAACAAGGTCCTGTGCAAAAACTGTCATTCCTGGCATCAACACCTCTTGTCTCTCTAGCACACAACAACAGATCAGTTGTGGTAGTTAATATTTTTCTGGATTTAGGTCTCTCCCTAGAAACATCCTTACAATCAGTACCGAAGTCTTAAAAAAGGGCTGCTGAGGTTCTGAGAGAAGAGATGAACCAGGGTTTGATGTACTTGTAACAGACTGGATGATGCAGGAGGCATATCTATCCTGCTCAGAATCCTGCCCCTCACCTTCAAACCCAGTTTCAGGATTAATGAATTTAGTGGCAAACCCACGCCATATGTCCCTGTGGGCAGGCCGTCATCTGAGAAGAAGTGACTAGACCCTAAAGAGCATTTAGGCTCCTATTTAAGTGACCAATATATGCCAATTCCAATAGGAAGGGAGGTTTCCAAATGTGAGTTATTTTTTAAAAACTGGTACTTCCTCATCACTTGGACATCGTACAGTCAGATGGTAACTTGATAACTTGTATAACTTTCATTTTCCTAAAAGACCAAGAAACTTTCTAGTTACATTACAGCCCTTGTGCTAAAAGGGGACACTTCCCTTTCTTCTCAGGGGTGCATTAGAAGATATCTGTGGAGGAAACCAAAATGATGAGACTGTTGTCTCATCAGTTCTTCTGCAACACAGTTTTGCATTCAGAAATAGATTTGAGTCAGGAAAATCAATTGTTACAGAAACTGTGGTGCCTTGTGGGAAAGAGACAACAGCGAAACAGAACTTGGGTGAAGGTGGGTGGCAGGTAGAAGCAGGATATGATCAGTGGAGAATGGACTCTCTGGGTCCTCACTAAGCACTGTGCAGGTTTTGGTGGATGGACCGCATTACTGTCATCACCACAGGCTCTAATCTTATTTTCCACCCTGTTTATCAGATCCTGCACACTAATACAATGTAACTGTCTTTAGATCAGTCTTAGATGAGCAGCTTTGCTAAAAAGAGAAAGGTCCAGCTGGAGCAGTTTCCTTCTGAGTTATGGCACAGTGGTGGTGAACAGCTTCAAACATTTTTAAAAGGAAAAGTTGTGAACCTCTCCCCTAGCAATCCATCTACGAACAAGGACATAATGGGTCCGTGAAACTGCCCAATTAAAATACATCAGCTATATTTATTGACCTGTCTGATCAGATCACTGGGATTTGCTTGAAAGGCACTGTACATACTGCTGCAGCTGTCAGCAGCACCTGCAGCCCAGCCCTGCAGAGTATGAACCTGGGGGTCAGATTTCTCAGGTAAAAAAAAAAAGACATTCTGGATTACATTCTACCCCCTGCAGTGCTGATATACTTTCTTTTTACGTGTAGAAATTCACCACTGAAACCTGATCCTTGAAATGTTACTAATTATTAGATCCTGAAGGGCTTGGTGCTAAGCAAATGCAACTAAGACCTATATACCCAAGACTGCCTGGTCCCTGTTAATATTTTTCTGGATTGAGTTAAACTTTCTGAGCATATCAGCTGCTTTTCCTTCAGTATAAACATAAAAAAAGCCACCAGCTCATCTGGAAAGGGAGGGACCTCCACTCTTACTGAAGTCACAGTGGAGCTGGAGCGGGAATGCCCAAGGGGATACTGATTCAAGAGGACAGTGCAGGAGATAACCTTGGTTGTGCCTGTGTGCCTACGAGGAAAGCAATGCAGAGCACGTGGCTCTAGTTTCACCAAGGTTCTGAATGTGCATATGGAAAAGAATGTGAGAGGTAGCTGTTTTGATGAGAGTCCTTATTCTTTGTCTCACAATGTTTGTGCTTTGTGCAGGCTCTCCCCTCAAAGGGATTTTCTCTTTTGCAATCTGATCCTTAGCTAGTAGCTTGGCATAGAAACCTCTCACCACACGACATAGGACTGCTGCATACAATGAATCTTTGTTATCAGTCTGTCCTTGCTGAAAAAAAAGAGACACCCCCCCCCCCTTCTTCAGCCTAATATGGCTTATAGTTGGTTCACAGCTTCTATTAATGAAGGAGCACCAGTTGCTCAGTATGGTCTTACACAGCATGAAACAAACAGAGACCAGTCTTGAGGCTGGTCCCTCACTGTCCCCCTTTCAAAATTTGGTTAAATTAGCAAGAAGTCCTACCTCTTCTTCTTCACATTTTTTCATTTTGAAGTTCATGGCACTTTGCAAAATGTTGGTAATTTTTTATATTGTAGAAAAAGGTAAGGTTTTTGTTTGTTTGTTTACAAATCAGCTCCTCTTTTTCTTTTTTTTTCCCAGTTGGAAGGGACCTTTAAATTTTCGTTACAAACTCCCAAAGCACTGAGAGCCTTCGCAGAGGGATTTCTTGGTGCTAAAAGTTATTGCTGCAAATTACATTGGTTTCTCCATGTCTTCCCCTTAATACTTTACATTTACTAAATGAACGTTTTTAAAAATCATGTCATGGGTGTTTTAAAAAGCTGCTTAGAGCCAGGAAAAGAGAGTGCGTCAGCAGTAAGGAAAAGTAGTGGAAATGAGAATGCTTGTCTGTTGTATAGCCAGGCGATCCTCTGATACAAATGAGAGGATGTTAACAGCTGTTCCCAGGACACTTGGAGCCAAAGAAGTTGAGAGGAGGAGGAGGGACAGAAAGGTAGATGGTGAAAGAGATGCTTAGGGCTGTTCAGTCAATCCATAATAGAAGAGCAAAAGAAGGATGTTACCACTTCATTGCTGGTGTCAAGAGCATTTCATATCCCCTAACATGGTGGATATAAGCACGAGGGAGCCTGCTGGACTCAGAGCTGCTGCTGGGTAGTTCATGAAAATTCTTTAGTGTACAGTTTGTTGCTCTTAGCTGGATTAAGGCATTTAGACAAAGATCGGTATGGTGCATTTGTCAGAAGGTCCTTACAAAAAAGGGTTGAAATATGTAGATACTAATTCTAGAGGAACTGGTTTCTGCAATTTTTGTCAGGGCAAATGGCCATAATTCTAAGCGAGAATTTTGTTTACTGCCTTAGGCTGGGTTTTGAAAGGTTTTTAGGTGTTGAAAGGAGGAGTTAGACTTCTACTAAGACTTTCAGAAATATTGTCTGCTTCATGAAATCTTACTTAGCACACGTCTGATTTGTTTGCACCTAAATATCTCAGAAATCTGGCTCTGTGTGGCTAATAAATACTGAAAAATAATGGGAGTTCAGATTAAAAAATAGCAATGTTTTTTACATTATCAGGATTGGCATGCTGTTAAACTGTTAATACAACAGTGTCAGGATCTCTCACAAGCTGCGTGGAACTAAAAAGTAAAAATAAAAAATGGTCACCTAAAAAAAAGAGAATGAAGAGAGTGAAAAAAATACAAAAAGTCTACTTTATAAAGACCCTGTCATGCAGATTCAGATTATTTACTTCTGTCTTTTTTTTTTTTTTCTTTTAAACCCCTTTCTCTAGGGAATCATTAGATGAATGTAGAATTGTAAACTGAGTATATAGATCTTTCTACACATTTGCAGAATGAGATATCTGAAATACCATATCCAATGTTCTTAAAACTGGTAAGGACAGTTACTTGTTCGAGGAAGTTAAATATATATGCCGTGATTCCATAATATCCTGCAACACTGAGCTAATCAAACTGAGGTGTTCTAATCATGAGTATGAGCCTCCAGTTTGATTTTTTTCTTTTTCTTTCTAAGGGTGAGAAAGAGAATAGTTCTTGAATATGTAGATCAGTATAATTTAATTAGCTTTTATGACCAGGACTCCGCAGAGATAACCATAAAAGTCAATTAGACTGTATTAAAATGCAGCCATTTCCCTGAAGCTTCTGTGGAAG